AGAATAGTGTTAGTTGATGAAACCAACACATCTTAAAAACTAAAAATGATCCAACTCTCACTGTATAAATAGGAATGAAAGTCTAAAGTCTATCATCCATCTTTCAAAAAAAAAAAAGGATTGAAGAATGTTTCCATATAAATTCTTTTCAAATTTAGTTTTCTTATTTGATTATATCTTTTATCAAATTTATGCATTGGATCCATTAGTTTTATTTGTGTTGGAATTGTTTACTAGAGAAAGTGTTGGATAGAGTTTTAGAGACAGAAACAATAAAGAAAAAAGAAAACGAGGGGACTGGAGGAAGGCTGAACTGTAGAACATCAACATAATCATCATCTCATTTATTGTAAATTTTTTTTTTCTTTGTCCTTGTTTGGAATGAATAATTTTGTTTAAGGGACTGCGGTACTTCAAATGCTTTGAAAATTTTACCACAAGTTCTCATATGTGTCTAATATCGCGTTGTAAAATTTTGTGTTTTTTAGACAAATGAATACTTTAAATTAATAGTTGTGGAAGAAAGTGGAAAATATTGATCTTATTTAGGTGGTGGAATTAGTTGGTTTTCTACAAACTTATGAAATGAACTCCCCCCCTACTATGGAAGAATAAAGGTTTAGCACTAAAAACAATTAAGGTAAGGAAATAATAGCTGAATTAGTGAAACTAACATTATATATATATATATATATATATATATAATAACAATAATTATTATTATTATAAATTTGTAAAAGTATTTAGAGAAATTTTAATTATTTTTTTAAATTTATATGGTTAAAAAACTCTTTTAACAAAATTAAAAGAGATTCAAGTCATTTTACATCATATCATACTTGTAGGAAACCAACTAAGTTTGTAGGAATTAGTTGGTTTCCTACAAACTTATGAAATGAACCCCCCTCCCTACTCGGAAGAACAACGGTTTAGTACTAAAAACAATTAAGGTAGGAAATAATAGCTGAAATAGTAAGACTGAACATTATATATATATAGGGTAAAGTGCAAAAAACCCCCCTGAACTTTACTCTCTCTCCTTAAAAAGCCCCCTGAACTATTTTCTTTACAGTTAACCCCCTGAACCATCAATTTTTTTGCAAAAAGTACCCACCGGTGAAGTTCCGTTTGATTTCACCGGCCAATCAGGCGCGTGATGCACACATGCCAACAATATATCTTTAAAATGACGAAGCTACCCTTATACTATTAAATGTATAAAATAAAAATTGAAAAAAAAAAAAAAATCTGGTTCACAACCATCACAAACCAAACCCTAAGACGAAACCTCTTACGCGATCTGAATTTCACCATCGCCGTGTCCTCAGCCACATTCTCTCTCTCAATATCTCTGTCGTGACCTCATCAACGCTGTGAACTTGCTATCGCCGCCACTGCTGCGAACTTGCCGACAGCGCGCGTCTCCATCTCCGGCATCGAATCGGCCTGTTGAGGAGTCAACAAGGATGGGATTTTTGCAATTGGGTTTGGTGAGTCTGTTACTCACTTTGCAGGCCGAACGTGGTCAAGAAGGCTATAAAACATGGCTTCTCTGTTGAGGAGTTTTTCGGGCATGTGGGAGGCAACAAAGAGCACCTCTATTTGGAAGAAATCAACGAGGATAGGAAGCAGTGCAGGTTCTGATCAATAAATTGCTCGTTGGTGTCATTTGTTTGAAGGTAGCAATTGTCATCAAAACATGGCTCCCAATAGTGAGTGGCAACCGGCGATAGGGATGGGTTGTCTTCACCTTCGTACTGTAAATGGCGAACAATTGTCTTCAAAACATGACTCCGAAGAATGAGTGGCGACCGACGATAGCGATGGGTTATCTACACCTTTGTACTGTAATTGACGATGGGGTTTCTATTTGGGGTTGAACTAGCAAATTGGGTTTCAAATTGGCATTCTAAGGAAGTTTGGGTTTCAGGGGAAACCGATAGGATTCCGGCGAAATTCATCATCGTCGCTCCGCTGTTGGTGCGCTGTGATTGTTCCCGGAAGAGCGCAGAACAGGTGGTCGTTGCATAGGTCGTGTTTGGTTGTACTAAAATAAGGTGGGGAAAATGTTGATAAGATGATGTGTTGTACAATTCTAATTGGTTGTTGAGATTTTGCTTGACACATCAGCAACACAAATTTGTAAAACACTAAAACAGTGTCGTTTCATCACGGGTGTATTTGTAATCTTCTCTTTCCGGTACCAGAAATCTCATTATTGTCCTCAATTGCAACTTTTTAGTAGTTCAGGGGGGCACTTGTTAAATCAGGGGGGTTTTGTGCAATTGCCTGAAAGTTCAGGGGCGTTTTTTGCACTTTACCCATATATATATATATATAATAATAATTAGGGTAAAGTGCAAAAAACCCTCTGATCTTTACTCTTTTTCCCAAGAAACCCTCTTGAATTTCTATTTTTTAAGTAAATTTTAAGTAAACCACCTGAACTATGGCAATTTTTGTAAAAATCCCCCAACTGTCAATGTTCCGTTAGTTTGTCCACCTAAAATTGGTCTGTGACGTAAGCAAAAATTGAAAATGACAAAGATACCCTTAGCACAATAAAGTTAATAAATGAATTTTTTAACCCCAAATCAAAGGACAGAGATGATGCACTGCCTCTCGCCGAACACCACCTTCTCTTCCTCCTCAGCCAATCTCACCTCGCCATGTGTCCATTCTCCGGCGACACACTCCGCTGCTTCCGTCGCAATAAGGGTATCTTTTCAAGAAAAAAAAAAATCAACTCCATTCTCTGTAATCGATTCGTTCTCAGTTGTTGTGATCTGCAATCGATTTACACACATATATATGAACGTATATAAGATGTTCGAATTTGTGAGAAAATCAATTATTTAACTACTGGACTTTGACTCTCTCATTCATCAACCTCATCGTATTTTCCATCTTCCTTATTCTTCCTCTATATCACCGTTAATGGAGAAAGACACACACCAAATCCAATCAACCCCCAGACTCAAGACCCAAGTCCTCTTCTGCAATCTTTGGTTCATCTCATGATTATAGCATCCGTCAATGGAAAGAGACGTTGTCAATCGACCCCAACATCATCGTCAATAAAGAGACCCACCACGCACTAAATTCGATCAACCCCGATATACAACCTGTTTAAATTGTAACCCATTTTGATATTTTGATAGTGTAACCTTACAATTTCCTCTCAGTTTCTTCAATTGCTTGTCGGTGCCAGAGTTGTAGGTTGTGCTCTAATCTCAAACGCTCCACCGCTAATTCTTTCACCGTCGGCGGAGACCTCCAGCTAAATTAGTAAAAAGCCCTTTGCACCATAAAATCTCTATTCCTAATCTCGGACCACATCAACGCCATACCCTCAAAGAGTTATCATCTTACAATGAGTGATTTAGAATTTGCAGTGGGTGAGTTTGAGGGTATGTTTGGTACGGTGGGTTTGAAGGGGGAGGATAAGATTAGTTATGAGGGAAAGGGAAGGGAAGGGAAGGATAATTTTAACCCTCCATTGTGTTTGGTTGGTCAATGAAGGAAAAGAAAGGGAAGGATAATAATTATGTTTGGGAAAAGAATGGAAAGGGAAGGATAATAATAAATTTACTATTATACCCTTATTATATATATATATATATATATATATATATATATAATATAATATAAGGAAAGAAAAATTTCTCTCTTGAACAAAGGCGATCCAAATCCAGCTGTAGCGACCTTCGTTCTTGAAGGTTCCGATCCAGGGCAAATCATTTCAGCCTCCCCAATCTCGGCCTCCATCTTTATTATCGTTCTCAACTCTCTCTCTCTCTCTTTCTACAAGATTCAGAAGTTTAAAACCCAAACCCATATATTTCAGTTTATCTTTCTGTCTGTAAGAATCACAAAATTCAAAACCCGTATCGGTATATCAGATTGTTCAGAAAATCAAAACCCATATCTTTCAAGTTTTCATCGCCGCTGTTCCAGTTCGGGTTCGCCATTGCCCGCCGTCTCTCCATTCTTTCTGCAACTGCTATCTTGTACGTATATTGATTTGAGGGTAAAATTGGCATCATCAACCATTGCCTTCCCTTTCCTTCCATTTCTTCCCATTTTTGGGAGGTTAAACAAATCACTGTAGAAGGCTATACATAACCCTCCCCTTTCCTTCCCTTCCCTTCTACCCATTTTACCCAAACACAGTTTTTTAGTCACCTTCCATCACCTTCCCTTCCCTTTCCTCCCATTTCCACTCTACCAAACTGAGCCTGAGTGATTTCTGGCACAAGTGTTGATGGTGTTAGGCCCTAAAACGGGATAACAGAAGCAAGATGGTGATATTGTGATAAGGTTTGGTGCGCTGTCTGATTTTCATTGGGTATTAGGATTGTGGACGACATGTCAGCAACTAAAGGTGAAGAAACAATAAAATGGTCTCCTTCTATTAAGGATGAATTGGTAATTTACTGTGTACTTAATGGAAACTTCACATTTTGCCCTTAAATGCACTTTTTTTCATAGTCCAGGGGGCAGTTGTTAATTGTTAATATAGGGGGGGTTTTGTGCAATCAGCTGATAGATCAGGGGGTTTTTGCACGTTACCCTAATAATTATAATTTTTTTAAGTATTTAGAGGAATTTTAATTATTTTTTCAAATTTATATAATTAAAGAATTCTTTTAACAAAGTTAAGGAATATTCAAGTCATTTTATAGAGTGTCATAATTGTGCAAAGTGATAATTAAAATGTGAGTAAAAGATGAAAAAAATGTTTGTACTAGGGTGATATTTATTTTCAAAATATATGGCCCACTTGTTAAGGTATCATCTAAATTAGCCCCAAAATCAATAAGTTAAGACAGATAAATAGGTAATTTCTAAAGTAACATCTAATAAAGAGGTTATTCGTTGTTATCACTTTTATTCCAAAAATAGCAAAAACAATTATTATTACTCCGTTATTATTACTGTATGTATATATATATATATATATATTTTACATGTTCATTATAGTATTCTACAAATACTCCATTATTTTCTTTCGGAGCAAACGAGGCTCAAACAAACAAGTCATTACAGTTTTCTATCTGGCACTGCCCTCTCTCTCTGTGCGCACGTTGATTGTGTATGATGGTTCCAAGAGGAAGTTGATGAGAGAGAAAGTCGTCCAGCTCTGGAAACTCTCAGGACAATTCTTCACAGGCCAGCTGAGATCGAGATGGTGAAGAAGCGAGTCCCCGATTGGCTCAACAATTCCCTCTGGTCCTCCTCCACTCCATCACCACCACCACCACAACCGCCACCACCACCACTCAACGACGACCGTCTCAACTCTTCCGCTCCCAAATCCACCTCTACCACCACCACCATCATCTGCACCTCGGAGTCTCCGATTGAGCCGCCCTTACCAGTGCCGCCTCCGGCTGCTTCGACACAAGACCCTCCAACAACGGAAATTAGGGATTTTGTTGGTGATAATAACGACGATCGGAGCACCGCAACTTCTTCAGCAGAAACTATTTCTCTTCAGGCTCAGCTCTTACAAGAGGTTAGTGTCTTTCTATATAACCTCTTTCTCTTTTGCGGTTGTTTTTGGTTTTATGTTGATACATTCTTTTAATTTTGTGTTCAATTGATTTAGGGCCGATTTGGGTTTTCTCTCTTGAGGTTTTTGAATGTTATTTTTTACTTTTTTCTGATAATTTGGTGACTGTTTTGTTGATTTTAGCTTTCTAGGAAGGCTATAAAGATGGGTGAATTGCGGAGACTTGCATCTCAGGGTATACCAGATGGTGCTGGGATTCGTTCTACAGTGTGGAAGGTATGGAACTGCTCTATGACTTGCTGCAAATTGAGTGAAATTGAATAAAATTGTATCAATTTAGAGAGACTTATGTAAGGGATGGAGGTGGAGATTCATATTGTTTGGGGGTATGTGTTGCGTTCGAATATATAGAGTAATGGGGTTTATTTCTTTGAACTTTGGCAGCTCTTGTTGGGGTATCTGCCTAGTGATCGAGGGCTTTGGTCATCGGAATTGGCTAAGAAGAGGTCTCAATACAAACTTTTCAAAGAGGAGCTTTTGATGAATCCTGTGAGTTAAAGTAAACAGATGATTTTTTTTATGCCTCCATCATAATAATGTCTTAACTCTATTTTACTGAATAATAACGATGGACATGAGCCGCAATTCAACTAACCTCGTTAACCTTCCTGAAAATAGGAATATGTTATCAATAAGTAATGTATATATCCCTGCATGCATCAGTCTGCTGAAGGGGCTAGAAACTCATATACTAGTTAAGATGGGAGTGGTGACCAACCTTATTTTATCTGGTCAGATAAAACCCTTCACTAAGTATGATGCTGCAGTGATTGTTATTCATATAACTGATAAATAGGTACTTTTCCTAGTCGAGTGATGCTGTGCAGTTTGTAGTCTTCACTAAAATAATGGTAAGACTCACGTCTCTAGGAAACTCTACAAAAAGATCGAAAGGAGCAGAGCATGACTATAGAATCCAAAAATATTAAAAAATTTGTGCAAGATGCACCACATGAGACAGAGGGTGACAGTATTCTGCACTTTCCTGATTCACCGTTGTCGGCAATCCACTCTTCAAGACTTCAACAAATCCATCACAGTTCTTGGTATGGTCCACGTAATCCAAATAATGAAAGAAGAGGTCCTTTATCTATCATGCCTTAGAAAAATTTAACAGAGTTGCTAAAGGTTTCCTGTTCTCCTCTACACGTACAAGTGTACAACACCAATATGCTATCTGGTATCCCCTTCTCTTGAGGTTGTCAGTAGTGAGAATTGAGGCCACTGTTTCTGATCACATAGACATGCTACCTTAAGAGGATCCTTCTTATGCCATAATCTTCCATTCATGTCCCAGTGAAATCCTTATAAAATGATAGGACATTGATGACTCTGCCATCAGCCCATCAACTGGATCTCCTTGCTCCACACAAGAGACTCCGATAGAATTACTATGAATGTCATCACCCCAGTTCAATTCCTATCCCGGAAAGTTCTTCTAAAATCTTGGATTCTAGCACCTTCATTGCTGGAAGATACTATGGCAATGCCTTATACCAGTAGTTGAAAGGAATGCTCTCGGAATTGAGGCATCCTCATCAATCACGATCCCAATAAAGCTCAGGAACCTATTCTTAAAAGCTTCCTCCTCAAAATATATCATTCCAGGATTTGACGTTAGATCCCTTCCCTCTATGAAGTAGAGAGTCAAAGGATTCTTCTAGTCTTCATTATGCTCTCTATACACTCCATAAGACAACCCCACTTCCCTGTTACTCGTCCTACCAAGAACTTTCCAATATTTCTTCTCCACCACTTTCCCGCTAGAGAGATTCCATTCCAAAGCAAACCTCCTCGGCTACTTACCAAGCAGAGCTTGGTTAAACATCTTGAGCTTTTTAACCCATAATGCTCCTTCCCTAACATGTAGACATACCTCATTCAACCCAACCAAATGTTACTTTGTTTAGTCATCAATGCGTCCTTCCAATAAATCCCTTTGCACCTTTTCTAGCCTATTTTTCATTGATGTTGAGATAGGTGAAAAGATTCCGCTGCGTGTTTGTAATAAGAACCCCCGTCATGGCATATTATTGCTTCCCTCGATTCTCTTATGAAATCTTTCCATAACTGTATCTCACAAGACCTACACTACTTCCATTCACTTAATTAGAAGACCCCAAGGGTAGATCTTGCAAGGACCCACCACCACAGTTGACAATATTGTTTGCTTTGGATTCTCCTCACGGCTTTAAAAGTCTTATTAGCATATGGTGTGCAATTTTCTCTCATATTCAACTTCTGCCTTCCTAAGCGATGTGGCATCCAGTCCCCAGGTGTCTATCATGCTCTTGCACATGCATATCTTCACGCGCTGGCTTAAGATGTTGGCCCAAGTGCATGACTCAAGTCCACATGATTCTGGTTGGGAATTGACTCCTATACCATTCGTCAGGACCCACCAACATTGTTTGTCCTGCCCCACACTGTGTAGATACTGCCACTTTGCACTACTCAAGCTCTCATGGTTTTCAAAATGCATCTACAAAGGTAGGAGGCATCCCCTTTTATAAGTGGCAGAATATTTTTCCTCAAGTGACATGAGATGTTACAATCACCCCTTCTTAGAACCTAGTGTCCTCACTGGTAGGACCCTTGTAGGCTTGTGCATGCTCCCCATATTCCTGCTGGAGATTGGCTTTGATACCATCTATCAGACCCGCCCCACATTGTGCAGTTATTGTCTGCTTTGTACTACATGAGAGGTCATGGTTTTCAAAACGTGTCTACAAAGGTAGGAGGCATCCCCCTTTATAAGTGACAACAACTTCTCCCCCTAAGGTGATGTGGGACATCACAACTATAGTCAACAATATTCTATACTTTGGGTTCGAAAAACTCATTGTAAAGTTGTGAGAGGAACCTAAAGAGGACAATATTGTTGAATGGTGGTGGGCCTTATATTAGAGTTAATGTCCGGAAGTGCGTTAACTTGAGCTGTGCAGGTGGGCCAACGTCTTGAGCCATGCAGGTGGGCTAGCGTCTTGAGCAGCGCATGTGAATACATGTGTGTGTAGGAGCATGGTGGACAGGACATCGCTTGGGAAGGAAAGTTGATTAAAGATATAAGGGGGATTGGACACCATATGTTAATAACGTGTTTTAAAGCCGTAAAGGGGATCCCAATGTGGAAATATTGTTGAATACGTTGGTGGATCCTAACAGATGGTATCAAAGCTAATGTCTAATCTAGGGCTGCAAATGAACCGAGCTGAGCCGAGCTTGGGTCTGCTCGGGCTAAGCTCGTTTGTTTACGGGGTCTGCTCGGGCTTGGGCTTGGGCTCGGGCTCGGCTCGTGACGAGCTCAGAAAATTGAGCTCGGGCTCGGGCTCGGGCTCGTCTTAATTTTAAAAGCTTGGGCTCGGCTCATGAAATTTTTTTTTAAAAAAATTTTCTTCTCAAAATTAATTAATATTCCACAAAAAAATCAATGATTTCATGCTCCATCATTGTAATTGTAATAAATCAATACTAAAAACTTTTAGATACCATCATTGTAATTATAAAAAATTCAATGATTTCATGCTCCATAATAAATCAATGCTAAAAACTTTCAAATACCTAATTATAAAAAATCAATGATTTCATGCTCCATCATTATAATTATAATAAATCAATGCTAAAAACTTTCAGATACCATCATTGTAATTATAAAAAACCTGGCGAGGACAGCAGACAGAGAGGACGGACGATGACAAAGAACGGCGAGTACAGCAGACGGCAATGACAGAGAACGGCGAGTACAGCAGACGGCAATGACAGAGAACGGCGAGGACAGCAATTTGTTGGACCCTACCTCTACTATTTAACCCAATTAAAGTTATAAAAAGAAAATAAGAAATATATTTTATAATAAAAACAAAATTGTGGTGTTTAGCTTTAGATCAACATGATGATGATTCTCTAATATTAGTTTATTTGATATTATTCTTGTGGTATTTAGCTTTTAATATGTAAATTATTAATTTAAAATAATTATCATTTCTACCGATAATGCTTAAAAAAATTGTAGTATAGTTATTTATTCTGTTAAAATTGTCTTTGATTAATCTAATTAGTATATGTATATTAGTATATATTAATCAATGTTGAACTTTGAAGACACAAAGTGGATTAGTGGTAGCCTGGTAGGAGTGTTAGGAGTTATATTCTTTCATGCCCAAGTCTTGGGTTCGAGCTACGCTAAGTTATGTTTTTTAATGTGTCACTTATTATATATTATATTATATATATATATATATATATATATATATATATGTATAGCGAGCCGAGCCCGAGTCTTGTTCACGAGCCTTGCCGAGCCCCTGTCCACGAGCTTATACGAGCCGAGCTTAATGTTGTTCGGGCTCGGCTCGTTTAGTAAACGAGCCTGAAAATTGGGCTCGGGCTCGGGCTCATTTACTAGCGAGCCGAGCCCGAGCTGTTCATGAACAGCTTGGTTCATTTGTAGCACTAGTCTAATCGGAAGTATGTATCTTGAGTTGCGCATTTGTGTTCGGTGGTAGCATGGTGGACACCTATGGACGAAATCCCATTTCGCTTGGGAAGGCAAAAGTTGCTAAGAATATAAGAGGGGATAGCATACACAACATTGTAAAAAACACGTTTTAAAGTTATGACGAAGAATCTAAGTAGACAATATTGTTGATTCTGGTGGTGGCCCTAAGGGAAATTAAAGTGGATAATATTGTTGATTGTGGTGGTGGATCATAACAGATGGTATCGGAGCCAATGCTTACCAAAATGGGCAGCCAAATCGAAATGTGCAGACTTTTGCCGTGCAGATGGCCAGTGTCTTAAGCTATGCATGTAAAGGAACATATGTGTGGGAGCATGGTGGACAAGGTCCCACATTGGTCTGGAAGGCAGAAGTTGCCTAATGTTGAAAGAGAGAGAGAGAGAAAGAGAATATATGAAAACGTATACGTTATTGAGTCAGTAATACTATAATACAATGGTGTTTATATAGGAGAAGTTACGGGAGTAGGTGAGTAGAGAACAAGTAAACCCTACATGGTAATTCTATATATGGTAATGAGGGGTAGATGACAACTCATACAATACTAATTGTACACGTGTGACAATTCATACAATACTGTACTACGTGACAATACTAACTGTACATGTGGGACAACTCATACAATACTGTACAACATGACAACTTATACAATTCTATACGACACTCCCCTTCAAGCTGGAGAGTAAATGTCAACAACTCCCAGCTTGCTAGATAGGGAATCAATAGAGTTCTTGGGAAGTGCCCTAGTGAAGATGTCTGCTAGCTGTCTACCAGAACGAACAAAAGGTGTAACAATCTCATTCGAGTCAACTTTAGATTGAATGAAATAGCAATCTACTTCAATGTGTTTAGTCCTCTCATGGTAGATTGGATTGCTAGTAATATGAATAGCTGTCTGATTGTCACAATGGATAGGAATTGGGTATTGGACTAAAATCCCAAGTTCCTGTAAAAGAGTTTTCAACCAAGT